AATAATCTTTCCATTGTAGCAACAAGAAGGTGTATATCAAGACAAGGTGAAGGAGATGATTACAGACAATGATAACAGATTAATTATCAATATCAATGATCTGAGAAAAAAAAATGAAAAACGTGCAAACAGGTTTGTATGAATTATAAATTGTAAATAATTTCTTTCAATTAGAAGAAATTTCTTGAGTTACAAACAAGTAACATGCGTGCTTCAAAACAAAGAACATTTTATTTGATTGGTTGACGAAAGTGTCCTCTTCACATATTATGTAAATGTGCATGACTGAACAAGACACTTCTAAAGCTAAAGTTTCTGTCAGCAAATTGAAAAAACAAAACAAAAACATAGTGCACTACGCCATGGTCAAATATGTACTATTTCAACCATTAGTGTGCCAGCCCCATGTATTTTTACATTAAAGGCCAAATGATTCAATATATAACAAATGGGTTTTTGGTTTCCTGTACATTTCTTCTATTGGACATAAAGCAAATACAGAACTAATCTTTTTTGATATATCGATCTTTATAATGACATGTTATGTTACAGCGCCCTCAATTCTTAACTTTGACAATCTCAACCCAAATATAAAACAAGATTTCATATTTTGATACTATGAAGTTGACCAAATTATGGAGAACATATCGTATGTTACAGGTTACTCACTGACGCTTTCGAGGAAATTGTTGCTTTTCAACGAGCTCTGAAAGAGATTGTTAGTGCAGCGGATCTGACATACGCAAAACAGCATGAAGACTTCTTTGTTGGATTTGAAGGCAGTTTTGGCGCCAAGCATGTTACGCCGAGAAGTCTAACAGCACGTCATTTAGGGAATTTAGTTTGTGCTGAAGGAATCGTGACAAAGTGTAAGTATTAAATAAAACCTGTAACATTTTTGTCTCAGTTGCATATGCAATGAAATCGTATCATATTTTTTTGGGATATCGGAAAACTTGTCCTCCAAAAGGTTAATATTCTGTAACATTTTGCCCTCTACTTGGTTTTAGGTTCTTTGGTACGACCCAAAGTTGTCCGTAGCGTTCATTACTGTCCAGCAACAAAGAAGACATTGGAAAGGAAATATACAGACTTGACTTCACTGGATGCATTTCCATCAAGTTCCGTTTATCCTACCAAGGTATGTTTTTTCACTACTTTTCTTTTCTATTTCTTCATACATTAAAAATCAAAATGTTAGCTCATTCCAGGGGTTTCACAAATGCATTTAATAGCAGGCTATCATCCTGTAACAACGGGCCAAAAAAAAATAAAAAGGCTTTCGGCAGTGCGACCGGCGTAGGTGGTCAGGTGGGAGACCAGAAAGTAG